ACTTGCTCATTGTAACATATTCCATACATATATATAATATGTATAATATATATACATATATATAACATGTACATATAAATAAATAAATATATATATATATACATATGTATACTACGCAAAAGAAGAGCACCGCGAACGAGTTATGTATGAGTCACATTCTCGTAGATATAGGTTCTCTCCATTGTGAAGATTCGTGCCACGAAAACCTTAGTAAACGAGAGATGTCTATTCATAATTCGGACGTTTCCGAAATGTTTTTAGCTTCTTTCACAATCACCAAGTGCTTTGGTAAGTTGTTATTAATAACTAAGATTGATACAACAATACAAATTTGTTTGTAAATATGGTTGTTCTTAGCTGAGAGACACTTGAAATTGAAAAGAATGCCATCGGAAGAAGTTAGGTAACTGTATTCATACTCTTTTGAGCAAATTAGTGTGGGCTATAGATGGGAAGAACCGTGCTAAATATTCACAAAAAAAGAATAAAATCGGTTTGAAAACTGTCCATGAGAAACTTTGTTATTTCACCCTGTTCTATTGTATGCCTTAGAAAAAATGTCCTAATTTGCAAATGTAGAATGTGTGAAATGCACTTTATCTGCACATCCTGGCACTTCTAATGGGTTGGTTCCTATTTGATTTTCACCACTGACAATCGAACATCTCCATCTTGATGGTGTTTACTTAACGGTTGTTATGTGGATGGCTACGGTCATCACATAAACAATATTCTTATAAATATTTTTCAGCTTATTAAATTCCCTTCTGGCAGCTCGCCACCTTTCCACTTCTATCAGTCACTTTGGAAGGTGAGACGGCTGTGCTGCTCAAAAGCTGTTATTTTCTATACAAAATGCGGGCGTGTGTTTTAGACAGCAATGGATCGCCGTGTAGAATTTGAAGATCATGCAATGAGTTTGCCTTCTTCAGCGTATTAGTGCATGGAACATCAGTTCCACCAAAAACTTCACTATATGTCATATGCCGACTAAATGTTGAAGTTTTTCCGATCTGTTCCATCGCGTTTCTACAGTGTCGTGAAACTGATACAGTCGTCAAAAACCACGGCGATGCATGACAGTCCGCGTGTATACCGTGATATTGTACCTCCATCATTTACGTTTCTTTATGTTAAGAAGTAGTTTTAGATCACCTGAACAACGATGTCGCGAAAGCGAATCGGTTCCCAGTAGTTGCCGTCGAGTTCGGGCCGAGCCGCCAGCAACCTCGGGTGCACAGCGCGGTCTTAGGAGGCCGGTCGCTCAGCCGCATCGCGTCGAGCCGCGCGACGCGTCGTCCTGGATGTTCCGAAGCTCGGAATCACGCCGTACCTCCAATTTTACGTGTTGTGACCTCGATTCATATTTCTTACTTTTTCGTAAATTTATAATTTTAGCCGTATCGTACTGAATCCAAAGTTTATTCATCGCTTACACAGCGGATCCTGACTGCAGCGGCTTCCAGTCTCTTCTGATAAGTCGTTGAAAACTTGTAACTTGTGTTGTTGCTAGAGTGCTGTCTACTTGTCACGAAATGCACGCTCATTACACTGTGTGTCATTGTCGCTGCCTCTCAAATCTATTACAATCTGCTCTCACTAGTTCGAATTACCCCTCATTCCTCGCGCTACCTTCGAAAGAAGGCCTTATCATATTCACATCTTTTTTTTTGTAATATTAGGAGGAACACATCACCTAATGGTCTCACCACTTGTCACTATGATAGTCGTGTTCTTCTCATTCACGAAGTCGAGGTGTTCTTAACTCGTTCTGAATGGTTCTCTATAGTTCTCTGTCTTCTAGTTCCTTTTCCAGAGACTTCATGCACTCTTTGACATATCCGGTGTTCTTTTCCATTGCATTATGTCAGGATTTTCTACAACTAGGCAAGTTCGTTTTCTTATACTTCCCTCTTACTTTCTCAAGTTCAAAGTGTAGTTGTAAAAGTAGAATGTCATTGTGGTAGGCATTGACGGAATGAATAATCACATTTGCTGTCATTTCTTTCCTAAACGTTCACAAGCTGCTAATGTGAATTTGCCTTCGATAGTCATTCCAACCTATGAATCAGTCTATGTGAGGGATTTCTAAACGGTCTGTGCTGAACACAGCCTGACTAGTCCATATGGCGCGCAGTGGGTTTATTAAGGAACAGAAAAGGACCATGTAATTGGCCTGAGAAGCAGGTGGCTTCACTCGTTCGGGCTGCTCTCTCACTAAATAGGAAAGGCTGAAAGTTGTAATTCTCGTCTAGCCACTCGGGCGAGCAGATCCCATTGGATAGCTTTGATGGACAACGGGACCGAATGGAATCTTCTGGTACGCATTTGGATTACTGTAGGATATGAGCTGAAATGATTACACGTGATGCGTGATGATTACACTCATTTCGGGCTATAAACGCAGAATTATTTAGAAACAAGTGTAAACGTCCCTCGGTCTTCTGATTTCCACCTTTGTCGATCAGAATCCTTTATCCGTGAATGGTTTTTGATGACACGATCTCTCCTGTTTCTAAATAATTCTGATGTGATTTTATATGATATACAAAGTGTAAAACTAGCACAAGTGTTAAGATGGAGAGTTTGAAAACGGAACCGATTTTTTTCTGAAGTGCATGTTCTTTAGATCCGTCATGTTTTTTTTTATGTAAGTGCATTGTTTGGAATTTAATTTGGTTGACATCTCAAATATGACTTCATATGGTTCTGATTGAGGTGAAGTTATGATAGTCATCTGGAAGAGTAATAAGTTGTTTTGGGAGAGTTCTTTAATATCCTTGCTAACCGTCCAGCCGCCCACCATTCTCATTTGTATTGCTCAGTATCTGTCTGTCGATCCTGTTCGTTTCTCTACTGTTTCTCAGTGGCTTTCCGTCCAATATTATGAACAGGAAGGAGAGCTGTTTATTGCTTTATATTGCTCTTTTTATACATATGAGGCACGCCTGAGGAGTTTTGTCAAACAGAGGACCTCCACATTTTTCAAGGTAATCACTTCATAGAGATTTATTCGTGATCAATCAAATTAATTAATTTGTCAATCTGCTCTACCTGTTATGCCACTGTGTTGGTTAAATGGAGATATTCTACTTCAAGAACCCCACTGAACTATTTTTCCTTCTGGTTGTTTACGGTGGCAAATAATAGACGACACGTCACAGACGTATGTTTGTTTCATTTCGCACATAACGGGCGTTGGGTTTTGATTCTATTTGGTTGAAAATAATCCCAACTGAAAATAATTGGAAATTTATCCCACGGAACATTGCACTTCTTCTTCTTGCTTCTTCGCATTCGTCATCAGCGGTGTGAGTTCAGCTACTAGCTGAAGATTTTGTCCCTCCATGAATATTGTTGAATAGTGGTTAAACTGATTCTTACTGGAATCTTACGAAAGTTCTTCTAGAAGACTCCCAAATCTTCACCATAGGCTAGCCTACCTGTATGGGTCAAAATGAGCTTTTCCTAGACAAATCTGGTGCTTATTTGCCAAGAAGAAAGAGATGTGGGTAGAGGGTTTCATTGAATCGTGATAGGATCGAGCCAGAGATCTTGCTTGTATTACCTATGCTCTCCCCGTTCTTGTAAACATTATTACTTAGGACGAGAGGTTTTCTTACTTTTCAATTTTAACACTTGAATTTTGAGTAAGTCTTAATTAAAGTAACAGCTTAAAAAACTATGTTTAATACTATAGTGATGAAAAATAATTATGTAATACCATTATAGTGATAGAACAGAGTCTCCTCTATAGTCTTATCAAATCGTTAGTTCTTCGAGTAAGTCAGGTTATCTCCAACTCATCAACATTTATTGAAAAAACCGGCACCACTCTTTGTATATTAGTAAATAAAAGTATGGTTTCTCCCAGGAGTGTTTTTTTTTTTTGCTTTTTCTTCTAACGGTATGCATTGCAGGTCATAATCATCCAGCAGCAGGTCCAGACCCAGCATTATACCTACCTAGAGGTCTGGATGATCGAGATCCATTTCTTCATGAAAACAACGCTTTACCAGATGCCTTGATCGATCCCGAGGGTCGTCGATTCATTGCACCTCTCAAACAGAAGGCGATACAGTAAGTGAGCAATTGTTTTTTAATATCATGTCGAAATTTACGGCTTGAGTACTTTTCTAGTGATCTTATAACCAATAGCTATCTCTTAATCGGTTACGTTTGAGCTTTCGGGATTGCGTTTTCATAATTGATCACTGTTAAAAATTATGACCGAACAGCAATGATGATAATTTTATGCAGGAACGTGACCATGAAATAACAATAATGTCATTGATAATGCTGGGACTTTAATGAAGGTGATAATAGGAGTGGTACGAGCGTGGAAGGAACAAACTGTTGACAAGAGATTTGCTTTCAAGATTGCTTATTCGCTACTTTATAACATCCACGTTATCTCTGCGCCTCTTGCTGTAGCATCTCCTCGGTGATCATATTAGTCGACTAGTTGCATTAGTTTATCTAGCAGTTCATCTGGCAGGAATTCGTATTCCAAACTAGTAATTCTCACTACATTTGCCTTCCTCATCACCGTTCAGCATCAGTGTATTTATGGTCACAGTCTTTTTTATTCCTACGACTAATTAGTTATAATATCTTTTATGGTTAATTTAAATATCTTTTGCCAATATTATCAACACTATTCTATTCTCTGACACTTTAATGAAGATGATGATAGGAGTGATAGCGGGCTTAGAACTACCGCTATTACTGCTGCCGCAATTACTCCCGAGAGTTGCTTCTAGTGCTACAATTACTAATACCATCACTATTGTTTTTGCTAGCTATTACTTTTATTGTTATATGGGTACTATTGTTATATAATGCATTACTACTTTATTATCGCATTCTAATGATTGCTATTATGGGGCGGATAGCACACTGGTAGTGATGTCCATCATCACGAGCATGGTGCTAGTTCGATTCCGTTCCGGGCCAACCAAGCCTCTCATCTCTCCGGAGTCGGGAAATTGGCACCTGACTTGTGCGGGAAAAGTCACTCTCTGTGGTACAATTGGGAACGGTCCAGCCCTGCTATCTCAGGACTCCAGGGAAATTTGCTCGACCAGCATTCTTCGACATTCAATATGAAATGAAAATCCTCAATCAGCATCTGAAGCCAGACGTAAAAACTTGGAGGAACTTTGTGGGCGATGAATGCGAAGAAACGAACTTTATGTGGAAAGTGTTGGGATCCGCACAGTAGACGTGAAGACGGATCAAATAAGGAAAAATTATTACTATTTAAGGGAAAGGGTAGTAGCGCGTTCGTTCCCCACCGCAAAGACCTGCGGTCCGGAGTTTTGCAGATATCTCAGCATCATAGAAGTTATATTTCGCATTCAGTTCATATTGTTACATCATTACTCTGAATTATTAGTTACTATTGTTGTCGTCTATTCTTTACTTCGTCAGAGCTGGAGAAGAGTTACGGCGTGAGGCGGCTGAGATCTCACGGCTCCTAAGTTCACCGAAAACCCCAATCCCTCTCAGTGTATGGTTATGGACGTTGTTTGGATGTTCTTTAGTGGTTCTTTGTGGAATACTTCCTGCTTTCCTGTTACCTGCTAACACTAACGAGTATCTTCGGACTGAAGGTAAGTCTTTATAGTTAACTGCGTACATATTGCATTTTAGGAAGCAGTACAAAGTTTTTTTTTGACAGAAGGCAGACATAATCTCAGCTTGCTTCTATCATTCGCAGTTGGCAGTCTTCTTGGAGATGTTTTTCTTCATCTTTTACCGGAAGCATGGGGTAGCTATGATGGTACAGTCTTTTATCGTTTTTATTTCAAATCTAGAAGCTTTTTTGAAAACAAATGCTGTTAAGCATAAAAATAATTTAGTTGATATCGAACACATTGGACTATGTACAATGGGCGGTCTTTTAATTTGTTCTTTGGTCGAGAAACTCTGCAGTACAACGGAAGAAAGCCAGCATAAGGTAATTTCTTCCAAGCTGAATGAATTCACTGAACTGTGATTGACGATGTTTATTCCAGGTTTGTGCAATTATGAATCTAGTTGCCAATTTGGTGGATAACTTTACGCATGGGTTGGCGGTTGGTGCCAGCTTTTTAGTATCACCAAAGGTAATTTTTCATCTATCTATTCAACAGCGCAACAGTGGCTGTCTGCTATTTTTTGGCTTAAGAATGGTGATTCGAAATTTGGTAAATCACACATTCTGTCGGGGTCGAACTAGCGACCAAACTCCTTCAGGTCGCTGTTTCTAGTACTACGCGTTTGTAAAAAAATTGCAAACTTTTGGTTGATATGCCTAATAACGTTGTCTTGAAACCGAGCTTAGAATATGAAATAAAAAAGAGAGACTCTCTTCTGAATTCTTCCTGGTCTTGTACTCTATCTCTAAAATTTCCATGTATTAGGTTATACGGAAATAAATGAGCGTTTTAAAACTTTTATTGTTTTTAATGTATTTTTCACCAATGAAATATTTCTTGTGCTTCGCAAAATTACATACTACTGGAAGGTTGATTTTATGCTATTTTTAACCATGTCGTTATATTTTGTAAAAGAATAAGTTTGTTTAGCAATTTTGAGGTTTGAGATCAGGCTCCACAGCACTTCCTGAAGCCGAACCAGAAAAAGGTTGTTGTGACTGCTCGGTGGCCTGCAGCCGGACTGATTCATCACGGCTTTTTGAATCAGGGCGAAACGATTACAGCAGACAAGTACTGCCCACAAATCGACGAAATATACCGCAAACTCCGACAACAACGATCGGCATTAATCAACAGAAAAGGACCAATCTTTCTCCACGGTAGCGCCTGGCCTCACGTTGCGGAACCAGCGCTGCAGAAGTTGAACGAGTTGGGTTACGAAACTTCGCCTCATTCGCCATATTCATCAGACCTCTCGCTTGCTGACTACTACTTCTTCAAGCACCTTGGCAAAATCCTGGGCGAGAAATGCTTCACCAACCACGATTACGCAAAAAATGCTTTCAACGAATTCGTCGCTTCCAGAATTACAGAATTTTATGCAGCGGAATAAATAAACTTGTTTCTAATTTTCGAAAATGGTAGATTCAAGTGATTTTTATTTCGATTAATAGAGTTCTGTTTGAATTAAGTTACATCGTTTTAAATAACAAGTTAAAAACGCTCATTTTTTTCTGTTTAGCCTAGTATTTTATGAGTCATTTTAATGATGCGTGAACCTTGATGAAAAATACTGATTCACTTTCTAATGCTTTCACTTATTCATTCCATCGATTTTTTGTCCTAATTCACCTGTTTTGTAGTTCGGAATGATGACGACCTTTGCTATTCTCGTACACGAAATTCCACACGAAATCAGTGATTTCGCAATTCTTCTCCGAGCAGATTTCGATCGACTCCAAGCTGTGAAAGCCCAAGTAAGCTGAGTTCAAAGTATGGAGCTTCTGTACTTTATTGAAGCTCTCACTGCGTCGAAATAATGATCTCTGGATAAATTTTAATGCGTGACTTCTTCATTTTTTCTAGCTAGTGACCGCTTTCGGAGGTGTAGTTGGTGCTTGTGCTGCACTCTGGCTGCAAAGTAGCGCAGTACAATCGATTGATTGGATCTTACCATTCACAGCTGGAGGATTTATTAATATATCACTCGCACAGATTCTACCTGAGCTCAATCAGGAAACTAGTCGGAGGTGTTTTATCGAACTTTACCCTTCAGTTAAGTTCCTCGTTAAAGCTCAGTTTCAGGCAGAACATCAAACAACTGGTGATGATTTTACTAGGACTCTTTGTTATGGCGGCCATTAATCAGTTTCATATCGCATAGTCAAGTTCTATTCCTCGAACTAACCACTATATGAAGTATTTATTCAATTGATTGCTTTTCTTACCTTCCTACGACGAAATTGCCTTGTTATAGCTCTTGCCGATGTGTAAACTAACACCTTGTGAAGTATTTATTCACTCCAGTGCCTTTCTTACTTTTCTAGGATAAAGTAGACTTTTTTTTAGACCTTTTTTCGATATACAGGATAGTAGTTTGTAAAATATTTATTCAATTCAATGATATTCTTTCCTCTTCTAGGACGAATTTGCTTTAGTCTAATTCTTGCCGATGTGTCTTGTCACCATTCTTACGTTTCATTATGGGTCGATGGGTTGATGGTCTAGTTTGTTTTCTAAATGTTTAGTTTGTTTACAAACATATGTGTTTATTAGGATTGAGACGGTCAGGATTCTGCTGAACCGGTACTGAACCTCGCATTATTCAACATATGTATAAAAAGAATTTTGTTAAGTGCTGTTTTGTGTTCTACTAAGAAGCTGCGAATATACAAACAGTAATGAAAGGGTGAAGGATGGAACCTTCGACGTTGATCAATCTCTGTTGTCATGCATTCGACTCCATCAACCTCCGTGAAGGTGAGTGACTGCATATCTGATCTATACAATGACTTTCGGTAGCATTTCGGTGTATTAAATCAGTGCTACCAATCCTATAAGAGAAGTCTGGTATCAGTTTGTTGAGCCCTCAAGTATGAAAGGTTTCGTGGATCGGTAGGACGTCATCGAACCAGAGACCACGTGTGTAGTAAAGCACATCTGTAACCATTGATTTACTTGCGTCATAATTTTAGCTTTAACTAAAAAGCAAAAACATTAAATGGTCATAACAGTAGTGCATTCTATTTCACGCCTTCAGTATACTAAACCTGGACCTTATAGTAATCTGCATCTGTGGGTGTGTCTAGAGTTTTCGAATCTCAAGAAAGTTCCTGTTCTAATGCGCTATTGAAGAACATAGGCATTCATTTTGCTTTGTTCTATTTTTCCACACTTTTTCTGGCGGGGTTCTGTACAAGTTCAATATGTATTATTTCTTGATAAGCTTGCACGAGGTTGATAAATATATTTATTTTCGGCTAACGTTTCGACGTCTTCGTCTTCCTCAGAGCCGGTGATCCGAGTCGATGGTCCATGCTTGTTGTTCGCCTCGACGTTGCGTCTTCGCCTTCCTGTCGAGCCAGATCTTCCTCAGCGAGCCATCTTCTCGAATGAGGCATCCTCACTCAGTGATGCCCTTTTTATACACGATGTTGATGGTAGATATATAATGACAATGTCCGGTGGTAACAACTTGTATTTCTTCCGGACATACATCAATGCGCACATCGTGCAGAGGTCGGTGTGTTATCAGCTAGCACAAAGCGTAGTAATATTTCGAAACCGACCTTCCCTAAACCTCGGTGTGACAAATCAATATGTATTATTTCTTGATAAGCTTGCACGAGGTTGATAAATATATTTATTTTCGGCTAACGTTTCGACGTCTTCGTCTTCCTCAGAGCCGGTGATCCGAGTCGATGGTCCATGCTTGTTGTTCGCCTCGACGTTGCGTCTTCGCCTTCCTGTCGAGCCAGATCTTCCTCAGCGAGCCATCTTCTCGAATGAGGCATCCTCACTCAGTGATGCCCTTTTTTAAAATTTTTTTTTTTAAAATTTCTTTTAAAATTTCGAAATATCTGTACAAGTTCCTCTATTCCATCACCGTAAAATTGTCGACTTTTGGAGTTCACAAGGTTTTCGGAGGTGTTTTTAGCGGCGTACTGGTCAATGATTTTTCTCCCGTTTTTCTTTCTTTTTTCTTTGTAGAGGTAATTCATCAGTCGACGATATGGTTGATGGATACATTGAAGAAGAACAGTTTCAAAGAATGTTCACCCGACCTTTATTCTAATCTCTTCCGAGGGCATATGTGTCGAATTAACGTCGCTATCCTCTTCGAAAAGTTTGGCATTATTTTTCCGACTCCGGAGGAATAGAAGTTATGGTGAGCACTGGGCGCGCTAATAAACCAACGACCACGTAAACATAACGGGACGTCGCTAACCACTGCGTTAGATCTGTCCTGCACTGTTCGTACTCATAAGTTTCATCAAACTCTGAAAGTTTTTCGTTCATTGCCAAGGTTTCGAAGTAAATGTTGCGCTCCTCGGATAGATTGCGGTTTGTTTGTGAAATGAATCAGTTGTACTGAGAGCCTTTTCTCCGCTTTAGGTCCAAATTTGAATTCATCGATAAACTGCATATATTTCCAGTCCTTTTTTTCACCTTTGTTCCAATTTGCAACATTCAACAGATATGACTTCAATGATGCTGAGATATTTGCAAAACTCCGGACCGCAAGTGCATGCGGTTGGGAACGAACGCGCTATTGTCCCTTCCGGGGAGAAGCGCGTTCACCACCACACCACGCTGGTCCTTCGCTTCGCCTGTCTCTCAGCTAGTTCTATCGATCTTTTGCCATCAGCAATTACCCGTCAGCGGGATTGCTCTGGGGACAATAGCGCGTACGTTCCCCACCGCAGACATCTGCGGTCCGGAGTTTTGCAAATATCTCAGCATCATTGAAGCTATATTTCACAATGTATACCTTGCCGTTAAAAAGAGTAGGCAGTAAATAATAGGTTAAAATTCAACATATAGTTAAATTTAAGGGAAACATTAAAATCAAAACACAAGTAGGGATCTGTTTTGCAAAAAGACAGCTAATATGATGCAAAGACACAAGTGTCTATCTAAAAACAATGGGTCCAAGTTTGAAAGACAAAGTCGAATTGTTTTTATAGCGACATAATCACGCGCTTCAGTTTTGTTACAGTCAGCTTCCACAATCGGTCTTCATGTGCTGAGTGCGGGGAGGTTCTAATCTTCAACTCAGCTGTAGTCGGTTTGGTCGATATGATCGACGAACATACCGGTCGTTCTGCTCCATGGTCCCATTTGATGACTCTTGTGGCATTTTTCTAAACCATCGTCTTCGATCCACTTGTTGTCAATCGATTTAATAGTGTGCTACACAAACTCATTGAACTACAATCAGTAGTTCTTGATCGATGTGCTTTTTTTGAAGGAAGCTAAAACGACATTCGACCATCTTCAAGCTACTCTATGCTTAGCTAATGTCGTAAGTATAAGAATGACGCTATTGCTTAGTCCACGATCTCCATCCATTCCTCACAACATCTAACTAGTTTCAACCTCGAATCCTTCTTCTACTAAGTTACTTAGTTTCTGATTGTCTGAGCTTGACTTTCTTCTATGAAGAATGGCTATGTTGCCCAAGAAGCAAAGCTTCGTAGAGAATTTTCTACCCAATTTTCTATGACCAATAGGAGGGAACTAAAATGAAAACTAGCTGTTCTACCTTCACAACCACTTGAAATCGGGCCTCACAGCTTTCTTCCTAATAGAATACAAGCTGTTCAGTTGTTTAAAGCACAAACAAGTTTTAACCATGCGAATGTTTTAATGAATGCGAAGAGCCTGTTAAAAGAACCCCTGCAGAATTTACGGCTGGATTTTAAAGCCAATCTCTACCAACTTACGTCCACTGATGTCCCTCATTGAACAATCACCTAGATAAGAGGATGAACTCCGAGCACATGCGATCTTGTCCTTCTTTCAGACGAAGTTAGAATTATGGGATGAAGTCGTTGTTTTGTTTCACTACTTTTTTGGTTTGGAAGTTGAGTTTTAACAAATGAAAAGTCTTATTGTTTAAAACAGCGAAATGAGATTTTTTATATATGAATTACCAGTAAATATGAGTGATATGACCTTCACGCAATATCTATTTTTTTTTATTCCACTTGATTGATTTTACTAGAGGCACCCTACTTCCAGCATGGTGACGTCTGAAAGTATTATTCAGCTGATCATAACCTTTAAAAGCCTCCAATAAAGTAATATTAATTCAGCGAAGAAGGTAACAACGAAATTAACATTTTACTTGTTCCTTTTACTACTCTTCTTCTTTACTCTTATAAAGTTGAACACACGCACGAGGTCTCTTGTGAAATTTGCGAGAATGTAGAGGGAATCTTCCAACGGTTTACCGCCTCATCGAGTCTGGGAGAGGTTCCTTGATGTGACGTAGCTGAGATTTGCTCTAGCGATAGCGAATAAACATTAGTCAATTTAGGTCACACTTCTTTTTTTCTGTGCTCACCACATGCTGGACTACACTAGTTTCCCTACAAGTACTTCATTTTTTGTTCTCTTTTTCGACAACTTTTGGCAACTGGAATAATTGAGGAGCAGGAAACATAGAAGTTTATAGAATGTACTTTGTCGTTCCAAATATACTTTTAATTTTTTCTAAAGTGTTTCATTGAATTTAAGTTTTCCTTCAAACAAATCGTGCAACTGTGAAGCGGAATCAAACGTAGGTTCTACAGAGGCAGAAAATTGGAATTTCGTTGGGCGGGAATCATGAAGGTTCTATTTTGTGTGCAATTTTATTTGCATTTTCTAGTGTTTTTGGTTGTGGTGAATCGAACTCGAGATGCTGGCTAGATGTAGTTCGATCGAGGCTACATCAAAGACACGTTAAGTGTAAAAGTTTGAGGTAGTAAAGACTGTAAAATCTATGTGGAATGCATGAAATGTGAAGATTTCTAGCTATAATGAAGGAAATTTACTTCTAAAGACAAGTTTTCATAGGAACTCCAAGTTTTAGACACTGCAGGTAGTGGTACTTATAAAATAGGTTATGGTGTTAAAGAAATAAGTATGGACGATCGAGGCCATGAAAATTTTGAATTTTCTTTTGCAAGACCCGTCCTTACACGTGAATATTATAGGTAGTATGTTAATAGTCTTTATTACAAGAGTTTTTCATAATAAATATGTCTACATATCTCTGCAATATTGAGCCCCTCAACGGCTTACCTCCTCATCGTGGCTAGGAGGTGTTCCTGCTTGTTGTGCTGCGATATACAGCGGCGGTATTCATCCCTCTCCCCAGCAGGATCTCCCAAAGTGAGAAGGAATTCGGAATTTTATTAGGAAGCCTAGCTAAGAATGAGCCAATACCAGGATCCACAACCATCCTCTTACCAAAATAGTCAAATGGTGACAAATCCCCTTCTGAT